TTTTTGAAAAATATTATCATGTTAATTGTTTTATATTTAATGAATGTAATCCGTTTTTTTATTTAATTATTCCGCTCCAAAAATTTTGAATGCACAATGTCACATCAATTGTGCATATAAGTGAAGTTTTAACATCTAAAGTCTGAGATTTTTCCCCTTTTTTCCCTCGCATTTTCTCGTAGTTTATAATAAAAATTTTAAATTATCAATCTTTGATATTAGTATTTGTCAACCTTAACTAAAATATTTAATTTCTTAGATCGTTCTTGACAATGTTTTCTTTATTTTTAATTTGCAATAATAATCTATTTTGACCACGGTTTTATGACTATACAAGGAAAGTACGTACAAAATGACGCATCAAAAATCTCGCGCCGCCTCTCAGCGGGGTAGTTTTGCTTGCGTGGGTGCGGCCACGTGTGTAGTAAGTATGAATACACTTAAGGGGCGGCACGTCTGATCAAACAGTGATTATTTGCAAGTCAGATACAAATACTCAAGCGAACGTGTGTCGATCGAGGAAAATCGCCGACGCCAGCAGCAATAATGCTGGAGTGTGTTTGCTCGCGGATTTTCGAGATGCGGTATGGAAAGAAAAAAACGCGTCTCTCTCGCCCACCGCGCAGTCATTCAAAACAGACGCGCTCGCTCGAGTCGCTCACTCGACAAGGAAAACAGCGATCGAGCGAAATCACGCACAATAAATAATCCATCCCTTCAGTACCGCCGCAATGGCTGTACTTCCTATTGTTAGTGAAACAGCGACTCTTGATGCGCGCTGCAAACAAGGCACGCAAATCACCGATTCAACGCGGCCCCTCCATCATTTTTCTGCAGTGAATTGCCAAATACGTAATACTTTGCATCTTCCAAAGCTTCGCTTACCTCTGCTCTGCCTGTCTAGAATCGTTTTTTCCAAATATAAAATTTTAGGGGCCATCTGCGAGGTAAATGTGCAAATTTAAAGTGGGAAATTCTTTTGATTCTAAAGAAATTGGCTTTTTTGCTCCTATTTACTTTACTTTTGTTAAAAAAAGGCTTGGATGAATTATTCAAGAATTAACTATTTGAAGATGGGAAAATTATTGAATTCCCTGAAAAATAATAATCACATAATTTTTGTGAAATACAAGAGAAAATTATCAATATTGAAAAGATATAACTTAAAAAAAATATTCAAGATTTAATTAAATTAGCCAGTAATAATAATTTTCAAATTATTTTATTACATATCTTATTAATTCCGCTATTCTTTTATTAAATTATTTGCTGTTTTTATTTTTCAAAAAACCTTATTTTAACAAAGTTGGATGGTTTCTAACAGGAAACAAAATCTTTAGTTCAAAACCCTATCTATGAAGTTATGAAACTTGTGGTTATTTTATGTCATGAATCTCATGAAATGTGTTCTCCTGAAGGGCTTTATGTACGCTGATTTTGACAATCTTTGGTATGCAACAAGACCACACCGTTCCAACAGACTCTGAGCGTGTAATAACTTTTGTCTTCAATCCCCTGGAGCGCCATAGAGAGCAAAGTTGTTAAGTAGACAACCTGCTGAAAGTCATTGCTTTGCCGCGCTGCATAATATTAATGCAACGCTGTGTGATACCGGTTGGGAGCTTCTCCATCAGCACCTTTTGCGTATGTAGTGGAACGGAACATGAATATTGAACCATTCGCCCCTCTAAACACAAATGTGAATTGTTCACTATATAATTTATTTCGCATAAAATCTTTTTGGGTTGAATTAAAATTTTCTTCATAATTTCGAGTTTTTTTATTAGCACCAGCGCATTTTAATTTTATACGTACCGTGTGCACTTGGCATAAAAAATTCATCAACCGTGGAGTCTCGGCTTTGCATTATGCATGGAAATGGGCCCAAGCGCGAAAGTGGGGTGCTGCGCTAATTAATTTTTTAAGCGGGCTTCAATTTGGTGGGCAAAATTTGTGCCTGTTTAGCGTTTTGTTATTAATTACCCAAACACGCAGCAGCAACTCTGAAAGAGAGTGAGCGCGTGTGCCGCGCGGAAACACAATGGCAGTGACGTCAGAGGCGACGGTGCCCAGTAGCAGCGGCTTCTTTCGGGCCCCATGTGCGCCAATCTTTTTATTCCTCCCACCAGCTTGGAGACTAAATTAATTATCTCGGTGCGATAAATCTCGAAAAACTCGCTCCAATATTGATCGGCATTAAAAGTTTGTAAACAAGACAGGATAATCCCCATTTGTTGCTTCACTTTGCCGCAAATTAAACTTTTAATGCCCCTCTTTGCGAATGTAAAGAGGCCGCATTACCAGCCCTTGCTGTCTAGAGAGACAAATATCTCCTTGCTTATGTGAAAAACTGCAGCGGAAAATTAAAAGAAAAGTTTAATCCGCCTCACGTCAAGAACACGCAGATAAACTGGAATACACCAACAAGTAATTCCTCTTTTAAATTTCTATGAATAAATGTACTAAACTTCCTCAAACGAAGATAATTTGATTAAAGTTTCTCAGTCGTTTCCTATACATCATTTATTAATTCTAAAGCGTAAAATTTAAACAATTCCAGATAAAATTGCTTTTGGGAAAGGAGCTGCATGTTTTTGCTTCTCCCCTTATGGAAATCGAGAGTTCTGTAAATTTAAAAGTGTATTCCAACCGAGAGGTGACGTGCGCACCAACATGTCAAGTCCCAACAATAAAATGAGCCACCCGACTGCTAAACTTTTTTACTCCTTCCGAAGTTTTTCCATAAAACAACAGCCATAACGCGGTTTGGAAAGCCTCAATTATCATCCCGAAATGCAAACTCACTTTTCTCCTGCGCTCATTTTCCCTTTTTCCACACATGGGACTCGGTGCTGGAAAACTTTTTGGGGCCTGAAAAACGATAGACTTGCGTAACGTTTTCCGTGAAAAAGGCCATATTATGACACCATTAGCATTTGAGATCCATTTCAGGGGCTGTTTGAGGAGCCATTGCCGCAGCCTGATACAAGAGTTCATTTTGCGTAATAACATTAGAAATTCAATGGTTATTTTTAGGAATCCCGCCGACCTACCGTTCGTCCCAGATAATATAGCAAACGTTTTGCTACCATTTATACGTTAAGGGTTTTTAATTTTCGCTCATTCTAAATAAGACAATTCTGACGCTAAAAAATTACCAGGAATTTTTTGCTATTAGGATATTTTTCTTAAACTTTGATTTTATTTTACATTTTTAGTTTCAATAAACCCCTATATAAAAACTGTACTTGAAAAAACAATAAAAATCCTGCACTCATCATATCCATCTTGAAGTACTGACGACCTGCTGGTATTCTCATTTTGCATGGTGGTGGTGCAATTGAGTCGGAGGATGATCTGGAGATAGACGCCGTGCATGAGCAGCCTCTCACTCAGAAAGGAAACACCATCTCGAAGCGGGCGCTATGGGCGCCGCGCAACGAGCAAAAAAGCGATCGTGTGGCGACGTTGTCGATGCTTAAATATTTGTCACGATGCTCAATTTATGGCGTGGCTTTTTAATTTAATCAATATGCTCGAGGGTGCTCTCAAAAGTGTATGTGTGATGTGCAATTTATGTAATACATCACCTCTCGCTCTACCCGTGAGCCTTTTTGCGATGTTTTCTCTGCGGGCCACTCATTCAATTACAGCCTTCGCTCGTCGACCATGTGAAGCAAGCCAACGTCAAAACTCGTCAAACGCAAAACCAACATGAGCTGCGCGGTGAAAAAACATTGCCCACGATGAACCATCGCCGCCATTAATGACCTGATTCCGTCCGAAAGAGAACACCAAAAACTTGAATTCGGCGATAATTTTTACGGGCTAATTTTTTTGCTCATTAAATCTGCTAGAAACTGTTTTTGAATGAATTCGATTTCTTGCTTTGTTTTTTTTTTTTTGCGAATGCATTCCTGTCTGCTTGAAAAGACCAGACTGCGCTGTGCATTTAAAAAAAGTCGCAAAACAATTTGCCGTCAGACATTTTTTCGTTGCTAACTCTTGCAATCGTGCATATTGACAAGAAGTGGAATGGAAAAATGGACCGCATTGTTCTCTGTCGTTCGCAAATGGTTTGGCGTTTGAGACGCTTTTCTCTTTCACTGAGCATTCCGCGAAACAAACATGCACGTTGTCTTTTATTTCAACAAGAGTTGGCCATTAGCGTGATTGACTGCACGGCCATGCAGAAAGTGCCGAGAGCCTCGAGTGCCCCCGCGTCTGTCCGCCCGCGAATAAGAGCGCATGTAGATCGTGTTGTGTGCCATTAGGGTGCGCGTGGTTCAAGATGCAATCTGCCGCGAGCACCTTCGATAAATGGACCTGAGGCCGTTGCTCGCTTCCGGTTTGCGCCCTTTGACAAGGAAAATGCTTTTTGAGTCGCACTTCCCGCTAAAATTTGTCCTGAAAAAGATTTTTAAATGTTAATGCCTTTGCCATTTTTTGCATCGACTGAGAAGAATAAATAATAATAATAATAATAATAATAATAATTTCTTGTTAAAGTGAAAGAATGCAAGTTGAAATTACTCAATTAAAAATCCTAAAAAGATATGAAAATTCAAAATTTGTTTTCAAAGTGAAACTGAAATGAATTTTAATTGAAAGCTAAGAAATACAGAAATTTAAATATTTAAATTTAAAAAAAAATATACACTTAAATCAAATTATTCCTTTTAAAACATGACAAAATCTTTTTAAGCTAAAAAGCGTCATAGCTTTACCACTTTCAAATTTTTTCAAGTAAGAAAACGTGTAAACTATATAAATTGATGTAATTTCCATAGGCGTTTGTGATTTACACACGCATCCCGTGTAGAGGAACAATTTAATTAATAGCCGCCTCACAAATAAAAGCTGTAAAATGACACGCCGAAATATAAATTCCTTTGTGCCTGGCGTGGGAAATATTGCCACTCATAAATTCACGCGAGTGAACTATTGTGAAATGGAACGCGAGCGGGTAGAGTTTAATACTTGCTGGTGATTGCTTTCAGGTGCTTGATATTATGAAGATGAAGGCGAAGCAGGTGAAGTCGTGGCACAACCCCCGCCTCAGGGTGAGTTATTAATCATTCGCACTCGTACAATTATCACTGCGCTCTCCACCCACACGCCACCCTCCCGCATGAATTAAGCAAAGTGACGATTCGCCCGCTCACTTTATCTGCGAGTTTATTTGCACGGAGCCCTCTTTAACGTCGTCCTGCTATAAGTCAGCGCATTCCTCGCATGTAATTGACGAGCGCGTTCACTCGTTGGGGGTGAAAACCGCCCCCGGAACGACGTACCCGACACGCTCGTTTCTTCCGCACTCGTCTATACGTCTCGTCTCCGCCGCCGATATTATGTTTTCCAGTTCCACAGAGTCAAGCGAGTGAGTAAGTGACTTCGTTTAATGACAAAACTTTTGTTGTTGATCAAACTGGATTTGCGCGCGGTTTATTTCCGCCGGAATTCGTTAAGGGAATTGCGAATCTTTTATAACTTCCCATGCCATGTTTACCAAAACAGAGAGGAGCTGCCTCGTGCAAACTTCGGACGCTCCTTTTTTAACTTTCGGATATAGCATGAAACAATGAAAAGACTTTTATATTACTTTCACCAGATAAATCGGTTTCTTACCAAGAAGGACAAAATTTTACAATGGCAAATTTAAAAATATTTTCTATTTAAAAAACAGAAGATTGTCTTTATTACGGATAATTGAAGACTTAACTTATCCTTAATATTATTAAGACTTTAATTATTCCTGACTAATTTAAGTAACCTTTTATTCTTATTGTTAGTGCAAAACAATGCGTAATTTTTTTTTAATCTTTTACATCTTTAAGAGTTTTCTTTTCAACTGTATTTATTGGAGAATCTGAATTTGAAACGGGATGGGTTTTTTTACAGACACACGTGAAAAAGTTGATTTGCCCAATTCTACTAAATCTTATTAGAGTTTTAGAAGTAAAACAACAATAAAACCAAATCTAATTAAATTCTGAGCATCCATGCGCATAGAGAGAATTATGATTAATTTCCTCGATTCCAATGACCGCTGAAGTGCAAAGTGGCGATGATTGGTGCAGATTAAGGGGCACTCGTGCGGTTAGTTGTTGGTTCGTCACGGCCGACCCGCGCGCGCTCTCTCGCTCTCTCCGTTTTGCCCTGTTTAATGTGTCGTGAGCCGATGGAAAGAGCATCATCCATAAGTATCGTTGTGGCGTGGCTGACAGACACACTCGAATGTGCTTTTCAGGCACATTACTCATGCCCAGCGAGTCTGCAACTGACACTCGGAGCCATAACATATATTTGTGCATCGGCCTTTTATTATTCCCTCTGTTTTGTTTTATTATTTCCACTCACTGCACGCAAATTGGATCAGAGAAAAGAGCGAAACGGTGATGACACTTACGCCAGGCGATGTAGGATTGTGATTTTTGCGGCTCGTTTTCAAGGACAAAAAAGAAAATATAAAAAATGGAATGGTTTCACCAAAATTAAATATAGAATAATTCCTGCAAAAAAATGAAATGAAATGAAAATGGAATCAAAGGGTAAATCTGATTATACGCCAGGCGTAGATTTGAAGGGCGAGATTAATGGTAATTTTCGCTCCTTGGCAACTGGTTGAAAGAGACATGCGAGAGGACCGCACTTTTTCAGGAAAAGCAGGCGCGGACCCTCTTTTACGTCAAGTTGTAATAGTTGAGTCGTCCCTTCTTGTGGCATGAACGAGAACCCTTTGGACCGCGCGCACCGATAAAAATCGGGCTCGTCATTTTTAGTGCCAGGCAGGGTGTATCTGGTTATCGTCCACCTGTCCGACAGCTGCCAGGAACACTTTATCGGCGCCCAGTCGTATTTCTGCACGCGCGCGCGCGCGGCCTTTCATTTCTGTGCCTTGTATCGGCACCCCGCCCGCGCTCTCTGATAACAGCACGCAAATGAAAATATTTTCATAATCGATCCCAGGCGCGCGGGATCGCCAAGGATACTCGTCCGACACAATTTCAAAACTTGCTGGCGTGTGCAGCGCGTATATTCTCGATAGAGCTGAAAAGGGCAAATTCGGCCTATCGTCGAATCAGCTGCCGTGGATTATTGCTTCAATATCAAGGACGCAAAACCAGATGAAAACACAATTTTCACAGCTTGGAATAAAAAAGAAGACAAATAACGGTCTTAATTTATTTTAACACAAGAGGTTTATTTTTGTCATTCTTTTTCAACGAGAAAGGTTTTTGTGTTTTTTAATATCTCAAGGAAATTTGACAGAAATTTCTCGGAAATTTTGTGATAAAATTAACGAGTCACTTTTTAACTGATGATTTTTATTTGGACCAAGCCGTTTGTTCCTTTTTTAATGTTTTACGAGCACCTGGGCTGGTGTATAATTCCGAGGATATGCGTTGCAAGACAGTGGGGATTTTTAAGCCCTAGTTTATATAATATGCAGATTGTCTGGTATTAATTTCAGCAACTTTTTTTCTAATTTGCATTTTATGTCTTCTGCATAAAAATGTAATTATTGATTATTCAATTAAGAGAGGCTCAATTTTATGCAGGCCTTGTTTCACGTGACATAAATGATAACAAACGTTTGCAATATTAAGGTTAGCTCACAGCTTATGATGTATTATTTTAGGCGTGAACAGATGAAAAGTTGAGCTCGTTAGTGCCGCTCACGGTATAAAGAAGGCAATAATGTTTAAAATAAGATTCCTTTTGCATGTCGGTTGGTTGGGAAAAATCTGCAGCACCGCTTCTCGCGAAAAGTAATTAATGAGAGGCCGCAATCAGTGGCTCTGCAAGTCAGCGGTTATTAAATTTAGATAGATAGAGTATTTATTGAACACAACTAGGTGTACAACGGGTGTCTAAAGCTAATTTGTCTTCCTAAAATTAATTTTACAATTAAGCTTGTTTCGATAATTATTACAAAGTACAAAATTAGTTAATTTTGATTTTTGCAGCCTCTCTTAGGCTTAGTTTTCGTTCATTACATTCAAGAATATGATATTGTGAACATTTCTTACCGCAGTGCTTGCATTCACAATCTATTGTCGCTTGAGAATGAAAATTTTTATTCTTACAAAATAAATAGTGGTACCCGTGACAGGCAAATCTCGTAAACACTTGGCGATCACTGAACATTGCACATTGCCAATTTTTATTCTTCATAGTTTCTGTCTCGTAGAACTCATCACATATCTCAAGTTTGTTTAAATATTTAGACACACAAAATTTCTGGAATGCTTCAGTTTCAGTTAGAGAATATTTTACCTGTAAGTCCGATACAAAGAGATCAGTGTCAACTAATTCATACACAAATCTAGATCTAATATACTTGGATAGTCCTAAAACTCTTTTTAAATATCTTGTTTTGACTTTTTCAAGATTTTCAAAATCAGTCTTTGTTAGGAAAGGCCATATTTCTTCAATGCCGTAGGACGCAATTGGGGAAATTTTTAGATCAAATAGCTTGTGTGCTGTTTCAATGGATAATTGTTTTAGTTCTCGTATATTATAAGTGGCCAGCAATGCAGCTCTTGTTCTTTTTTCAATGTGCTTTCCAAAAGAGATTCCTGATGGTTGAAAAGTAACTCCTAAATATGTAAACTCAGCAACTCTCTCTATTTCAATTCCACCTAAATCTAGGCGGTCACTTAATGCATATTTTCCTAGACCCTTATTTCTAAATTTCAAGAATTTGCACTTTTCCAAGTTAAGTTTCAAACTGCGTTTTAACAAAAATTCTTTCATTCTGGCTAAAGCAATTTTCAAGTCACTTAATTTTTCTGAGGTTAAAACAATATCATCTGCATAATAAATGGCTTTCACGTTTGGCAAATCTCGTAGAATATTATTTATATCAGCTAAAGAGTAATTGAACAGAAATGGGGACGTGCATCCCCCCTGTCTTACCCCATTTGATTGTGTAATAAGTTTTGATACTGTTACTCCATCTACTATTCTCAAGAAATTTAAGTCTAAGTTGTGAGCTAAATAATTTAACTCCGTGAACGTTAGCTTCTTGCTTTCTATTAACTTCTTAAAAATAAACGCCCTATCTATTGAGTCAAAAGCTTTACTTACATCCAAAAATAAGGCATATAAGGGTGATTTCTTCTTATAAACTGTCTCTTGAATGTTATTAACTAAGGACTTAATTGCCTGTAAAGTAGATTTTCCTTTCACAAAACCATATTGATTGCCTGGAATCTCGTGAATCAAAGATGAGTAGATACGTGCATGCAGTACACGATCTAACAGATTGTAAAAAGCCGAACTAATACATATTCCTCTATATGAATTTGTATTTTCCGCGTCCCCTTTTCCCTTATACAAGAGTTTTAGATTTGACTGCCTCCATTCCTCTGGACATGTTCCTAGCTCCAAGCATTTGGTGAAAAATTGCGTTATTTCGGGGAGTAAGGATTCAACAAGTAGTTTAATATTTTCATTCTTCACTTTGTCAGGTCCAGGGGATTTCCCGTTTTTCATTTTCTTTAATGCTAACAAAACTTCTTCTTCCATAATAGGTGAAAAATTTATATCATTTCTGTAATCTACTATCATCTCTTTCAGATTTAAAGATTCATTTTCACTCAATTTTTTCTCGTTGAAAATTTTTTCAAAATTGCACTCCCATTCATCCATCATTATATTGTTTGTATTGTAAAAACTTTTGCTCAACTTGAGAATTTTATAGCACTTATTCTGCTCCGCCTCTTTTAAAATGTCCAACTCCTTCATTTGCACAAAAGCGTTCTTCTTCATTTCACACACATTTTTGTAATTTCTTTTTATTGCGGTATAGTGCGGTAATAGAATCTTGATTATACTAGTTACATTTAAACTTTCAGCCACTTCCAAGCACTCTCTCCATTCGTTCAATTTCTGTTTTAATTCGTAGCATTCAGAATCAAACCACGGTTGACTAATCCGTTCAGTTTGCCTACGAGGAATGTCGGCCTCTTTCATAATATTTATCATATTTTTATAAAACTCTTCAACGTCCCCCTTTTCCAGATTTGTTCTTAGAATATTTTTATATTTAGTCTCA